TTAGTCCACTGTCTCGTTATCAGTTGCCTACCCGTTCTTCCTTGAAAGATCATCTCTTTTTCATCTTTGGTGGCTTTTAGAACCTGTTGGTTTTTTCTGCAAAATTCCATTCTGATGGGTCTTAGGACCCCTTAGAGTCGGGAAGCATGGGGTGTCCCAAATATAATGAATAAATCCATCCTGTCTCTCAAATATCTCTATTTTTTTGTTTTGGAATTGGTTAGATATGTTGGGCCCTCTCATTCCACCTCCCTCTGTCATATTTTTCAATTCACTAATTTTCTCTTCTGTTAAATCTGTTAACTTTTAAATTTCTGTGAGTAGTTCTCATTTCTAAAAACTTTTTTTTGGCATTATGTTGATCATTTTTAATTTCTTCTTGTATGTCTCATCTCAGGCAGCCACTAACTCAGGCATCTGAAGTCCACTGCTGCGGCCACGGGGATCATAGGCAGCACTGGCTGAAGGTCTGCCCCGGGGCTTTCCAGACACCGTGGGTGGGGTACATGCAAATCCCCAATGGCAGGCCTGTGGTTGGACGTTTTCAGGAGGTGACATTACAGGGGACTCTAGACGCTGGGCTTCCAGGGAATGACGGGTGTATGGGCCTCTCTTTCTCGAAGAACACCTTTGCATAGGACTTCATTTTGACTCTTAGCTCTTGGAGGGAAGACACTCAGCTGTCATACAGGGAGCTAAGAGAAAGGGACTGGTTTTCCCTCCTGAATGGGGAAGACAGAGGCCAAGTGCACAGGGCCAGGGAGCCTGCGGCCCGGGCAGCTCACCACACGGGGAAGCGGGTCCAGTGCACAGGTGGGTGGTGGCTGCAGCTGTCCTGGACACACAGGCTGAGGAAGGGCTTGGGGTCCACCCGGAATCAGGACCACCCGAGTCACTGCCCCTGCACGCCTCGTGGGAATGGCTCAAGGGAAGGGCGTAGGCTAGGGCGTGACAAATGCCTCCTTCTGCCCCAGGTCCCTCTGCTGAGTGGCCTCCCGCAGGGGCCCAGCCTCACACTTGCCACCCGGGAGCAGTTTCCTAGGCTGGAGCAGGGTCCTGGAAAAGGGCCTGGCATGCACGCTGAGTCTTCTCCTTGGCCCTGCAGTCACCACCGACCTGGTGGGGCAGACACGGGACTCGGGCTCCCCCAGGTGCCTCAGCGGGACACCCCACCACCCTGGCCCTAAGGAGAGTTCTCTGCAAAGCCAGAGGGCCGCCGCTTCTCCCAGGACTCAGGTCCTGTGCTGCTCCGGCCCATGGCCGGCCCACGTGGCCTGGTGTCCAGAGCACCAGCCCCAACCACAGAGCCCTGAGATGCAGGGCGCAGGACGGACAAAGGGCGGGGGTCCTGGCTCACCTGTCAGCCGGAGCTCCTCTAGGCCGCCAGCCACATTGCCCCCACTGCCCCAGCCTGCGTCACACAGAGGAACTGCAGAATCCCAGCCCCTGTCCTTGGCCGAGGGGACAGCCATCTCCCCCCAGAGCCCCCCAGGGAGGAGGGGGCAGAAGGCCACGGGGACAGGGAATTCACTGCGCCTCCGTCAGGTCACGTGGAAACAGGGATGGTAGCCGTGAGGACTGGGACTTGCAGAATGCACGTGTTACAATGCGAGAAATGAGGCCACTGGCCACTCTGCCTTCACAGGTACTGCCAGCCCTGGAGCTGGGACTGTCCCCAAGTAGGGGGAGAGAGGGCCTTTGGGCTTCTGCCCCATTCTGAGGCATCCAGGCTGTTCTCCTCTTGCCTGCATCGGTTGTGAGGTCCCCGAGGAGCCCCTGGGCCTCCCACCCTCGGCCCTGGAAGCTGACCTCAATCTGCCCCAAAGACGCCCTCCTGGGGCCCAGACCCACCATAGTGCCAGAGGCCCAGGGTCAGGCTGCAGCGGCCGGCTCACACGTCCCAGGAGACAGAGACCCCATCCTCACTGGCCAGCTCGATCCTGGGGCCACCTCTCCTCGTCTTGGCAGGAGGCAGACTGCGGTCCAGGCAGCTGTCCCCAGGCAGGGAGGAGTGGTCCAGCCTGTAGGTCTTGGGGCCGGACGGGGCTGAGCAGGTCTGCCCCACTAGCCGGGCAGCAGGCTTGAAAGCGCCAGTTCCTTAGGCCACTGGTCTGGTGGACACAGGTCTCAAGGGGACATGCTTACCTTCAGGCTGGGGTAGAGGACAAGGGTCACACCGTCCAGCACCACTGACAAGGCCCCGAGCCTGCCCGGCTCAGCGTCGTTGTGAGCAGAGTCCTTGGCCAGCAGGAGGCTGCCGCACTGGGCATGGAGGCCCCACACCCGACCACCAAAGGTCACCACGTACGTGCTGGGCCCCAGCCACCACGGCGCAGTCTGGGAGGAGGGGGCCCAAAGGCCGGGTGAGTGGGGCTCACTGCAGTGGGGCCCAATGCCTGGGGGGGCAGCCCAAGCGGGGACATGGGCCCTGTCCTGCAGCCAGGGAGCCCATCATGGGTTCCAGACGACTTGAACTCCAGGGCTCCCCGAGATGAGGGCCTACAGCCAACTCAGCAGTAAAAAGGGACAAAGTACTGAAGCTGCTCCATCATGGGCGCATCTTGGAAACTTAATGCAAGTAAAAAAGCTGTCACTAAAGGTCACCTATGATTCTGTTTATATGAAGTGTCCGGCGCAGGCGAATCCAGAGACAGATGGGTGGGGGCGGCATGGTTTCTTTTTGGGGTGATGAAAATGTCCTAACATTGGTGAGCCACCATCACCACCATCAAATTGTACACTTATGTATGTATCAATTGTATCTCAGTGAAGCTGTTTGTGGGGTAAAAAAACTGCCCAAAGACTCCAAACACGAGGTCGGTGCCCCATGGACCTAGCCCCCTGCAAAGGGGAAAAAAGATAGCCCAAGCAGGGCCAGTCCAACCTGTGCATGGCCAGGCACTGGCAGCCTCAGGAGGGATGGTCAGGGAGTGGTCAGAGCTGAAGGTCACACACAGACCTTGAGGAGCAGGCTGTCTTCTACAGTGTCGATGTGCTGCCTGGACTCTAGGGAGGTGCCTGCCTGCCCCAAGCCTTGTCGTGGGGCCCACTCCCCTGCATCGAGGGCTTGAGCTCAGACAGCACGCGCTTGTCACCTAGAGGAGCAAGCCATGTTGTCACTTGCATCTCACAATGAAGGAAACTGAGGCCCAGGGAAGTTAGCAGCCTCACCTGGTCACACAGCAAGCACAAGTGGGACACAAATGCCCCGGAGCCATTGGTGGTCCCAGCACTGCCCCTGGCTGCAGGCCCTGATGAGTGAGTCTGGACTCAACTCGTGGTCTTCCGGCTACAACCGGAGGTCTGCTCCCACAGGGCCAGGGGCAGGGAGCTGGCCTGGAGCCCCGAACTGCTCGCCACGCCCCTCTGCGGGCCCAGGGCCCCAGGCTTAGATCTTACAGCATTCTGGACAAAAAGCAGGACCTGGAGGCCCGTCTCTCGTCCCAAGGACCTTAGGAAGTCCAGTCATCTCAGGGCCCTGCACTGTGCCCCGCAGGGAGGACTCGCACTCTGAGGGGCTCTCCAACAGGCGGAGCCGGCAGTACTTGGCCCTGGTCGGCTCCTGGAGCGGCCGCCGCAGCTTCTCCCCTACCAGGTACCTGGGCACTGGGCCAGGCCCAGGTGCTCGTCCCTGCAGGCAGCAGCGCCACCACCACGGAGCAGTTCCTGGAGGGACACAGAGGGCAAGTCGCTGTGCCCGTGGGAGTCTTGTTCCCTGAGCTGCCGAGTGGCAGTTCTGGGGTCCGAAGCAAAACCACTTTGGGCATCACAGGGAGCACCGGAGCAGGGGCTGCGTGTGCGGAGATAGTATAGTGAGAGGATGAGGACAGAGGCTGGGGGTCTGGGCTCCTGGGCCCCAGCCCCAGGGCCTTGGGCCAGCGTGGGGTGGGGCCTGTGTGTAAGGCGCCAAGGGCGGCGAGGCCAGCATCGGCCACGGGGCTGAGTGTGCAGAACCAGGGCGCAAGCTGACCGGCGGGGGCCGAACGAGCAGGGAGACCCCAGCTCTCTGCAGAGGGGCCATGGGAAGAGGAAGCTTCCCACTCTCGTGCTGGGGGAGGCGACACAGGAGCGCATCTACCTTCTAGGAAGACCAGGCAGCCTGGGAGCCCTCCCTGCTGCTGGAAAACCTTTACAGCACCTCCCCCACTGGTGAGCGGAGCCCACCCGCTCGCCAGGGAGCCCCTTCCGTTTTCAAGCAGCCCTGGCTGGGAAATCGCTCCACCCGGGCCAAAGCCCACCTCGGGTGTGGCTCTTCCCTTCTTCGGCTCATGTGCTGACCGCAAGAGTACAAGGGCCGCAGTGCAGGACTTTTACACGGTGTCTCTTACCTGTGAGCTGGGGAAACTGAGGCACAGGGAGCCAATCCAGGGTGGCCTTAGTTAGAGGCAGAGCTGGATCCCCTGCCAAACCGAAAACATTTACAATCAGACCGCTGCTGGAAGGCTTGCCAACCCAGTGTGGCTGGCTGACGCCTGTCCCATCCCCCACCCCAGCGAAACATGAGCTTCATGGGGCAGAGCTCTGTCTCTTCACTGCTCTCTGCGGCTCCTGAACAGGGCCTGCATGGACAATGAGCCTCGGTTTCCTCATCTGTAAAATGCAGGAAGAAACTGCCTGTGTGGCCTCAGGGGCGTGAGAGTGCTCAGCACCCGGGCGGGGGGCAGGAGCAGGTAACACATCAGTCCCGAGTCACCTGGCCGAGAGGCGGTACAGGCCCAGCAGGGGCTTGCAGAGCCTCCACAGTGCCCGAGACAACTGACAACCTGGCTTCAGCCCAAGACAGCACGTGGAGGGCAGCCTGCAGCGGGAGGGGCAGTGAGAGCTGTCAGGGCCCGTCCTCACCTGGCTGGCTGCGTCCCACCTGTCCCTGCACCTCACCAGCTGCAGGACATCCTTCTTGGCCCCCAGGGCCGCCCCGATGGGCCTCCTTGGCCCGCTCCTGCCACACCTCGTCCAGGGGCCTCAGCATCACCTCCAAGTAGGCGTCCTTCAGCGTGGCCAGGGCCCCTGCAACAGGCAGCCGCCACTCACTGTGAGGCCTCCAGGCAGGAAACCCGGCCCAGCCCTGCCCTGCCCTGCCCTGCCCAAGCCTCTAGGGATGGGGCCTGGTTCCAGGAACAGGGCCGTGGGAGAGGGAATAGAAACAGGGCGGCGGGCACCGGAGACGGCGGCGGAGAGTCAGCAGCAGGCCGGTTCCTGTCCTGGGGGCCTGCACCCAAGGGAGGGCCTTGGCTGGTGCCTGGCTCGCGGCAGGCTTCTCACCAGTCCAGGGACGGGGCGGACGGGCTCCCGGCACCTAGCGGTTTCCGCACACACGGTGGCTGTGCTGAGCACCTGCTTTCCCTCCGGAGTCCTGCTACGTGCCAGGCAGCAGCCGCCCGTGTGCCCAGCCCCAACCACCGGGCACTGGGCCTCATGGGCTCCCCGGTGGACAACATGTGACATGTGTTGTCACGACTCAGTGCTGGGGGGAATCAAGTGTCACCTGTGTGACTTCACTGGGAGAGTTCGCTGGCCCCAGGCCTCCACCCTGCGTCTCTTCCCCGGGCTGAGCACCCCCCCATGACCTTTCTCTGCACTAAGTCACAGCCCTGACCCAACTGTGCACGGAGTCCTGTGAGGTCACCTAGCACATCACTGCCCTGGGGACTCTGGCACAGCAGGGACACACGCAGGGGGCTGAAGGGAGACCACCAGTCCAGCACGCATGCGGCTGTCAGAGGGGTGCCCTCCTTGGCGCTGGGCCAGGTCAGTCCCGGGCCCCCCAGATCATGGAGAGGCCAGAGCTTCCCGGCCCTGCTAGGAAGGCGCTCGGAGCAGCAGCTGTTTACGGAACGGGACAGAGCCTGTGACAACCCACGCCACACCGCGCTCACACGGAACTGGAACCAGCACCAGGCCCCGGAGTCCCAGGGCAGTGGGGCTCGCGGAAACCGGGCGGAGAGCCGAAGACACCTGGGCAGCAGGCCCGAGGGCCACTAGCTTCGAGACCTACGAGAATGGAGAGGGCAGACCGAAGGGAAACAAAGGCCGGGGGTCTGGAAGAAACACGGCGGAGTCTAGACACCGGGGTGCGGGCCCCAGGAGCCGAGGCAGCCCTTCTGCTTGAAACAGCTCGGGGCTCGGGCGAGGGCATAGGGCCTGGGCGGGGGCTGGGTACGGGGTGGTGCCCTCTCCCCCACACTCACGGTCCAGCTCGTCCTGCAGCTGCTCCAGGAGGAGTGACAGGTGCTGGGTCAGCGCCTGGCTCCAGCCCCACAGGGTGGCCACCACCTGGCTGCTCGCCTGCACGGCCCCCAGTCCCACCTGGGACCACTGCAGGAGGAGGCCCGCCACGCCACGCTGTCCAGGGTGCCTGCCGGCTGGCTGCACCTAGACAGGGAAGCCGAGCAGGATCAGTGCGGGCATCTGGGGAACAGAGCCCTCCAGACCCTCGTGCCCGGGTGGGAGGCCTGGGAGGCAGAGTCCTGGGCCGGTAGGGGGTGGGGAGCCCTCCGTGCAGAGCTCTCCACCCCCTCGTGTCCCCCATCATGGTCTACCCCCCAGGGGCCCAGAACCGGCTCGCACAGGCGTCCACGCCTAGAATCCTCTTCCCCAGCTGGGCTTGCACCTGGGACCCCATTGCTGCAATCCTGGACTGTGGGGACGGGAACCAGTGGGGCTCCCTCAGGGCCCTGCAGGAATGAAGCAGATAGAAGGTTCTCGGTGGCAGGGGCCCGAGGGCGTGTGGGCCACCCCATGGGTCTTGTGCTCTGCTTGTTTCTGGGTACTGCTGGCCCAAAGGGCTTGGGGTTCCAGCATTGTGGCCTCTGCCAGGGAGGGAATGCACCCCTCCTCCCCCGGCCCCGGCCCTCTCACCTCCACATGGCCCAGCAGGGTGGCCCGGCAGCCGCGTGCGGCCAGGAGGCGGCTCTGGTTGGCAGCCTGCAGGGTCAGCGTCCCAGGTGCTGGGCAGGCTGCCCACGGTCCTGGAACAGGACCTCCGCCTCGGCTATCTGCCTGTGGGCACAGGCCCTCAGCACCACACTCTCTTCGCTGATTCCTGGGGCCAGGAAGGAACCTGCTGTCACACCCACGACTTCTCCATCTGCCTCCCAGTTGCCCACTCCTCCACTCCACAACCTTTCATAGTTCCCCATTGCCCCAGGCAAAGCTTCAAGGCCCTAACATCTGAAAGCCTTGAACTGTGCCACCTAAATCAACCTCCTGAGCCACCTGGACAGCCCTCCCCCCACTCTGGCCAGGCCAGCCTCACCTGGTAAGGCACAGTCAGCTGGGATGGCATGAGCCCCCGGCGGGGTTTTACTTTGACTTCTGGGCTCTTAATACCCCTGTCCTTTCTTGGGCCAAGTTGGCCCCTGTCCCCGCTAGCTGAGCTGGGACCCAGCCCCCACTCACCTTCCCCATGGGCCACAGAGGCCTGGAGACAGCTTGGGCCCCAGGACAGGGACAGCTTCACTGTGTGACCCGTGGTGCCGTTTCCCTCCAGCCGGACCAGGCTTTGAGAAGCTAGACAGAGACACAGCCCAACAGGCCAACCCTCTAAGCCTTGGGGCCGCGGAGCTGGGGCGGTGGGGAGGGTAGAGGCCTGAGTGCCCCCCCCACCCAACCACAGGGCTTAGCGTCCCCACCCATGTCAGAGAGTACTTGTGAAAATACCCAGTGGGGAGCCCAGCAACCCAGCAGCACCTGCCATCAGAGTGGCCTAAAAATCACTGATCCCAGCTCCCACCCCAGACACTCTGATTTAACTGGTCTGGGGGGGGCACTGAGCACCAGCTGCCCAGTATCCAGGTATTTCTACCTGCAGCACGGGTTTTCTAAGTTTGCGTGAGACCCACTGCAACAGGCTTAGCAAGTTGGAGAAGACGTCATGGGTAAAGCCGGCATACAGACCCACGCACTGGGCAGCGCGTCCAGATCCTTGCAGGCACTTGGCCTTGAAAGAGGGACACCCAGGACAGGTGAATCTTGAAGGGGGTGGGGTCAAGTCAGGAAAGGCCGAGGAGGCCCTGCAGGGGCTGCTCCAGAAGCAGTGGTAGGGAGGGGAGCCCATTCTGGCCTGGGCGCCACTGCCCTATATTCTAGACACTGCAATTAACACGCTGTGCAGCCTTGAATCAGTGTGCCCCCTCTCGGGGCCTCAGCCTCAAAATCTGTGAAATGATGTAGAAAAGTGGTTCTCCAAATTTAGCAAAAATCAGAATTACTGTCTATGTTACAAGTTGAATTGTGTTCCTCAAAAAGATGTGTTGATGGCTGGGCGTGGTAGCTCACGCCTATAATCTTAGCACTCTGGGAGGCCGAGGTGGGCGGATTGCTCAAGGTTAGGAGTTCGAAACCAGCCTGAGCAAGAGCGAGACCCCGTCTCTACTATAAATAGAAACAAACTAATTGGCCAACTAATATATATAGAAAAAATTAGCGGGAGAGAGTGGAAACCGAGGCAGATCCCCAGTGCGGCGTCTGGGAAAGAGCCCTCCCAAGACCCCCCTCCGTGCCCGGGTGGGAGGCCCCCCTGGAGGCACGAGTCCCTGGGCCCGGTAGGAGGTGGGGAGCCCTCCGTGCAGAGGCCTCTCCACCCCCCTCCGTGTTCCCCCCAGCGTGGTCTACCCCCCAGGGGCCCGAACCGGCTCGCACAGGCAGTCCACGCCTAAATCACTCATCCCCAGCTGGGTTGGCAGCCTGGGACCCCATTTGATGCAATCATGGACTGTGGGGATGGGAACCAGTGGGGCTCCCTCAGGGCCCTGCAGGAATGAAGCAGATAGAAGGTTCTCGGTGGCAGGGGCCCGAGGGCGTGTGGGCCACCCCATGGGTCTTGTGCTCTGCTTGTTTCTGGGTACTGCTGGCCCAAAGGGCTTGGGGTTCCGGCATTGTGGCCTCTGCCAGGGAGGGAATGCACCCCTCCTCCCCCGGCCCCGGCCCTCTCACCTCCACATGGCCCAGCAGGGTGGCCCGGCAGCCGCGTGCGGCCAGGAGGCGGCTCTGGTTGGCAGCCTGCAGGGTCAGCGTCCCAGGGGCTGGGCAGGCTGCCCACGGTCCTGGAACAGGACCTCCGCCTCGGCTGTCTGCCTGTGGGCACAGGCCCTCAGCACCACACTCTCTTCGCTGATTCCTGGGGCCAGGAAGGAACCTGCTGTCACACCCACGACTTCTCCATCTGCCTCCCAGTTGCACACTCCTCCTCCACTCCACAACCTTTCATAGCTCCCCATTGCCCCAGGCAAAGCCTCAAGGCCCTAACATCTGAGGGCCTTGAACTGTGCCACCTAAATCAACCTCCTGAGCCACCTGGACAGCCCCCCCCACCCCCCCACCCCCCGCCCAGGCCAGGCCAGGCCAGCCAGCCCTGGCCCAGCCTCACCTGGTAAGGCATAGTCAGCTGGGATGTCATGAGGCCCCGGCGGGGTTTTACTTTGACTTCTGGGCTCTTAATACCCCTGTCCTTTCTTGGGCCAAGTTGGCTCCTGTCCCCGCTAGCTGAGCTGGGACCCAGCCCCTACTCACCTTCCCCATGGGCCACAGAGGCCTGGAGACAGCTTGGGCCCCGGGACAGGGACAGCTTCACTGTGTGACCCGTGGTGCCGTTTCCCTCCAGCCGGACCAGGCTTTGAGAAGCTAGACGGAGACACAGCCCAACAGGCCAACCCTCTAAGCCTTGGGGCCGCGGAGCTGGGGCGGTGGGGAGGGTAGAGGCCTGAGTGCCCCCCCCACCCAACCACAGGGCTTAGCGTCCCCACCCATGTCAGAGAGTACTTGTGAAAATACCCAGTGGGGAGCCCAGCAACCCAGCACCACCTGCCATCAGAGTGGCCTAAAAATCACTGATCCCAGCTCCCACCCCAGACACTCTGATTTAACTGGTCTGGGGGAGGGCACTGAGCACCAGCTGCCCAGTATCCGGGTATTTCTACCTGCAGCGCAGGTTTTCTAAGTTTGCGTGAGACCCACTGCAACAGGCTTAGCAAGTTGGAGAAGACGTCATGGGTAAAGCCGGCATACAGACCCACGCACTGGGCAGCGCGTCCAGATCCTTGCAGGCACTCGGCCTTGAAAGAGGGACACCCAGGACAGGTGAGTCTTGAAGGGGGTGGGGTCAAGTCAGGAAAGGCCGAGGAGGCCCTGCAGGGGCTGCTCCAGAAGCAGTGGTAGGGAGGGGAGCCCATTCTGGCCTGGGCGCCACTGCCCTATATTCTAGACACTGCAATTAACACGCTGTGCAGCCTTGAATCAGTGTGCCCCCTCTCGGGGCCTCAGCCTCAAAATCTGTGAAATGATGTAGAAAAGTGGTTCTCCAAATTTAGCAAAAATCAGAATTACTGTCTATGTTACAAGTTGAATTGTGTTCCTCAAAAAGATGTGTTGATGGCTGGGCGTGGTAGCTCACGCCTATAATCTTAGCACTCTGGGAGGCCGAGGTGGGCGGATTGCTCAAGGTTAGGAGTTCGAAACCAGCCTGAGCAAGAGCGAGACCCCGTCTCTACTATAAATAGAAACAAACTAATTGGCCAACTAATATATATAGAAAAAATTAGCTGGGCATGGTGGTGCATGCCTGTAGTCCCAACTACTTGGGAGGCTGAGGCAGGAGGACAGCTTGAGCCCAGGAGTTTGAGGTTGCTGTGAGCCAGGCTGATTCCACGGCACTCACTCTAGCCTGGGCAACAGAATGAGACTCTGTCCAAAAAAAAAAAAAGATATGTTGATGTCCTGACCCCTTGTACCTGTGAACATGACCTTATTTGGAAACAGATAAGGTAGGCATAAATCCAATGACTGCTCCCTGTAAGAAGGCCACGTGCAGACACAGGCAAGGCCGGGAGTGACGCTGCCACCGCCCAGGACTGCAGCAGAAGCCAGAAGTGGCAAGGATGGATTCTTCCCTACGACTTTCAGAGGGAGCATGACCTTGGCTAACAACTTGATCTTGGACTTCTCTGGAACTGTTAGATAATAAGTTTGTGTTACGCCTTCCAGGTGGTTATTGAGAACGACGGTCCCGGGACACTACTACAGTGCCCTTCCTAAGCATGCAGGGTCCTGCCCCAGAGATTTCCAAGTTGGAGGTGGGGGTGGAGCCCAGGAATCCTCATGAGATCCAGCAGCGCTAGAGGTGAGCCTGGCGGGAGGGCGGGGGCGGGGGGCTGTTCTGCAGCCACACTCGGGGTCTGCCCCCTACGGCTTCCGGCATCTGAGCCCAGCCCCAGTAGCTATCGCTGAACTTCCAGGGCCTCGCCAGTCTCCGTGCAACTTGAGTGAGTGCCTGAGCCCCCTGAATCTGTCCCTCCTCTGCACCGGGGCCACCAGTTGGTGTGAGGACCAAACAAGCCTGGGAGAGGCCCTGTCCACACCACAGACCCTAGAATGGGGCAAGTGAGGAGGTGCCGGAACCAGCTGTCCTGAAGCACTTGGGGACAGGGAAGCACAAAGACTGACCACTTGCTGACCATCCGACATGGGCCTGGCCCCTGGGGGCTCACGCTCAGGCCCCCACCTGCAGGGAGGCCGGCATCGGGCACTGGGCTTACGGATCCCGGAGCAGCTGGGGGCCTGGCTGGCAAGCGGGGAGACGATAGTCGTTCCCAGAGAATAAAGACCTTGGAAAGAAAAGCTCTTTGGACGTGCCCATGGCTGCTGGGCTGAGTGACCCTCCAACCCAGAAACGCCACCCGTCCAGCTCCGGCGCCGCGAGGAAGGAGGCACTATGTCGTGAGCACCTGCCAGCCATGCACAGATGCCGTACCGACGTGGTCTTCCTCCTAGCTCTGAACGGGGGGCAGGATTTGCTCCCATTTGCCAGAGCAGCAGACTGAGGCTCAGAGAAGGAAAGTCACAAGGTCAAGGTCACCCAGCCAGGGAGACACAGACGGCAACGCGGATGCAGCGTCTGCCCCACGCCTTTCCGTGCGGGCAGAGGGAAGCGGCGCCCAGAGCCCCAGACCAGCCTGCGAGACACCCGAGCCCTCCCCTAGACGAGACACGGAGGCTCCGCCTTGAGCCCACGTGGCCAGGTGGGGGCACATGGACCAACTCCCTACTTCCCTGGGCTGCCGGGAGGCAGGAGGGGGACAGAGAAGACGGGCGCCCACGGCCCATGGCAACAGCACGTGCTCGTGCGGTGGCTGCTCTGCATCCGGCAGCGCTCGGAGCGCCCCGCACACACCGACACGCACGGTCCTTGCAGCACCGACCCGGGAGGCAGGGCAGGTGCGACGGCGGCTGTCCACTTCACAGGTCAGGAAAGGGATACTGAGAGGTGGAGGACGTCGGCTAGCAAGAGGCGGGCTGGGACTCGCGCTGGGCAGCCCAGCGGCCGCCCGCGCTCACGGAAGGCCTGGATGCGGGCAGGCCCGGGCGGCGAGGGCCCCTACCCAGAGCGGCTCTGCCCCTGCACTTCTGAGGGTGGCCAGCAGATGGCGGTGGGGGCCCGCCGGCCAGGGAGGACCCAGAGGGACAGCAGAGCATCAGACGCGGCCTGGACGCCAGGGCACCCCCCCACCCCCCCACCCCGATAAGGCAATGGCCCCCAGCCCCTCCTCCGCGCGGCAGCAGACTGGCTTCCCAGAACGCAGGCTCAGAGGGTGCCCGCCGCCCGCCCACGCCCAGAAGACAAGCCGGCGGCCTTGGCACGCGGGCTGCGCTGGCCCTCAGCCTCACCTTGCTCGCTCTGTGAGGGCACCCGCGCCCCCTCAACTCCCTGAGCACGGCCCCGCCGCAGGGCCTTTGCACTGGCTGCCCGCACC